ATCCAGATCATCAATAAAGATATTAAACAAGTTATTTCATTTCTACTGATTAAAAAGGCAGCATAGGCTGTCTAGCTTACATGTACACAACTTCACATAGACCTCTGGCCAGGAGACATGCCTCTGTTGGCTACTACAACTGCAGCAAACCACAGGTGACTCAATGCATCTCACTCCGGATTCACTGTGGGCTTAGGTCTGTCGTACCCTTTGTTGCTGGGGGCTAAGGATACACATATGTCTATATGTCACTCAAATGCACACGCAATTTCTTAGCTGACACATGGCAGCTTGTTCCTCTTCACAACACGAGGGAACATTTGAACCCATGACGCATCTGAGCCACCAGGCACTGCGTAATGGGCAGCCGCTCCTTGGAGCCAGCCTATAAGCACAGAGTAAATCACTGGGGATTTTTGTTTGGTTTTTTTTTTTTTTTTAATTGAGAATGAGGAAGTGCCTGACTCTTTTTACCAGTCTCACAGATTGCAAAGTCTTTACTCATCTATAAAGAGGCGCATTTGACATATTTTGGAGTTTTTGCCTTTTTTTAGCATGGTTTATTCACATCTCCAGAAATGCCCTAGGGCGACCCAAGCCCAGTGTCTCTCTTTTACTGTCAAAAATGCTTGCCAAGAATTTTGGAGCAAGGCATCACCCCAAGTGCATGTTCTAGATGGGCCACATCATTACACCGAATAGTGCAAATTTGCTTGCATTTAAGGCTGCCCAGTCCCATGCAACCTCCAGCTGCTTACCTTGACTCCCCCAGAGTCCAGAACCAGAGTCCAGAACAAGAACACCATTCCTGCACAGTCCCACCTCACACCACCCCATGCTCTCTGCTGCCGAGGTTATGTATGGAACTGCTGAGCATTTGACAGAGCAGATGCAGCAGTGTGAGTCACTGCATCACCAAGGAATGAGTTACTGCATATCAGTTGCTCCATGGAAACAGCTCATGTATAAGCTTGAATATTGTGCAATGCACTTTGTGGCCACTTACATGCCTCTGAAATAGAGATAATTTGTTTACTTCACATATACGCAGGAGAAGAGCAATCGGTGCCACACAACTGCCAGAGTACTTCTAGTGGAGCATCTAATGTATGATAGCTTGGCTGAGATTTGGATGGTTCAGGCTCACCTGGTTGCAGAAAAAGGAGCTCAAAGCAGGAGCCTGGACTTGTTTGCCCTTAAGGCTGGCTCTCTTTCAGCCCTCAAAACAAGGTAGCCGTATGCAAACCACCTATTAGGAATGGTCCCTGAAATGTGCCGACCCCCAAAACATGCCTGGGAATTGTTTTGGGCAGGGGCCAACACCATGCCAGGCACTGGCTGGAGGGGATAACGGGGCAGAAGATTGTGCTCTAGTAGCTAGAATCATTGCTAGTGACTGGTGAATTTACCCTTATAGCTGTAGCTAAATGTTTCCATCCATGTTCCCTAGAGGCAGTCTTTGTTTACAACTTTAATAGCTAGAAAAGTGAGTTGTCTGACCATCCCCACATTTTATGGCACATCTTTCAAGCTGTTATAATGAAGAAGCACTAGCAACAAAGTTATTACTTACTCCACAAGCAGAATTTCTGGGCAGCTCTTGGCATAAAGGTACTTCAAAAAGTGTCTTAATATTCTGCAAACAAATCAATTATTTATAATTGTCTTGTCTTTAGATATGAATTAAAGTAATTATATTTTTTACAGGGTTGAAAGGAAGCAGACAGGTTTAATTGAAGTAAATGAAATCTACATGACCACTTTTTTTGTTTTTTAAACTTTATAGGAAATCAATGTATTGACAGTAGCATTGGTCAACCAAGACAGAGAAAAAAATTCAGAGAAACGAAGCCCGGGTCTAAAATCAGAGAAAGAGGCACTATTAATAGGTAAGACAAACCCCAAAGAAGATTTTTGAGACCAAAATACCTTTCAGCAAGTTTTTGTTTTCCATATGTGTTTACATGCACCTTTGTTCTAATAAAAGTTCTTCCAGTACTTCCAGAGGGCTTATAAGAAAGATGGGGACAGGCTTCTTAGCAGGGCCTGTAGCGATAGGACAAGGGGTAATGGTTTTAAACTAAAAGGGGGTAGATTGAGACTAGATATAAGGAAGAAATTTTTCCCAATGAGGGTGGTGAAACACTGGCACAGGTTGCCCAGAGATGTGGTAGATGCTCCATCCCTGGAAACATTCAAGGTCAGGCTGGACGGGGCTCTGAGCAACCTGGTCTAGTTGAAGATGTCCCTGCTCACTGCAGGGGGGTTGGACTAGATGGCCTTTAAAGGTCCCTTCCAACCTCAGCTATTCTATGATTCCATGAAAAGTTAAAAAAAAAAAATTATTCTTCATCTGTATTCATAATAGTTTTTAGTAAGAGATATCCTAAAATATAAGTGAGCTTTTCCTTTCTGAAAAATTCTGCGAAGTTTAATGAAAGGATTTCAGGTATGAAGAAAATGGCAAGATCTTGCAGCATGAATGTATGAAGACTTTATTTACATCAAGATTTAGCAGGCCAGAATTGCATAACTTTTTATCTGATTATTACACAAAATGGTGAAGGAGTAGGGAATGGAAATAATATTAGCAAACTACCAAGCAAAAAATATGTAAACTGGATGTATTAAGCAAGCCATATTTATGCTTTTGTCATTAGGTTGGGGAATTAGCAGTATGAATATTTATAAAGAATACCACAAGGACTGTCATACCCTTTACCTAGAATAAAATCTTTAAAATAAACTCTTTAAGAGTGCCTGAATGCCAAAGCTTATAGCCAGTGGGCCAGCTAACTGGCATCTAGAATTCAGCCACACAGGAATGCTGGCTGTACCCATGCTACCCTTGTAGGGAACATGCCCCATTTATACTCGTGCATGTTTTGCATTGGGTTTCAGTGGGGCAGGTTTTCATGTAACCTAAAGGCTCATGGTCCAAAGTGCTCCCTACGGCATGGTTGCCTTTCACAGGAATGCTGAGCTGAAAGACCAGGTTTCATTTCTTTGATTTGGTCTTTTCACAAAATCAGCAGTATCCTGGTAGGTGATAGTTCCAAAACTACTTTAATGTGTTTAAATGCAACTCATTTGCATCTGCTAAGCACCCAGAAAGTTGCTGGTTTATTGCTAGGGCATGGAAACAGACAGGTCAGGCCAAAAAGTTCATTTAAAAGTGAAGAATGCATTTAAAAGTTTAAAGGGCTTAGTACACAAACTTCCTGTGATTGGTGAGATGCGGAACAGTGGGCTGTACAGAAATGTATGAATTGATTTGATTTTGCGTGTCGTAATAAATTTTGGAACTTTTAGTCGTAATGGACAGTATTTGATCTGTTTAGAGATACCTTCTGTGAGAAGGGTAGCAGCAATGGAATTTAAGAAACGATAAAGAACTTTTTTGTCTAGGTCACTCATTATTTGACTGTAACAAGTGGTAGCAGTGTTTCCAAGTGGGTCCCATCCACTAGCTGTCTAGTGGCATGCTCAGACAAACAGTGAAATCTCAGTCCAGATATTACTGGTCATAAAACCCCCACAGCTGGCTCCTTGTTAATGTTCAAAGGCAAAAGATTGCACAAGATGGATTTCATGTTATCTTTTCCTCTGAGTCATGTTCAGGCATGGCAAGGGAAGAATGGGCCCTGCCTCTATCCATTCACTAACTTTGTCTATATGTTACAAAAGTCAATATTGTCTTAGAGGACAAAAGCATAAAATTAAAAAAAAAAAAACATTAAAAAGTTATCATGGAACTCCAGTCCATAACTACAAAATATTTTCAAGTCACTTTTTATTTACATTATATGAAGGAGCTAGCTTTGAACATCCTGAATTGAAAAGCCTTGGGAACACATATAACAAACACAGTGCCGCTGGTAAAATGTGATTTGAATACAAATTGGATTTCCAGTCAACCCATCCAAGTGTGATGGTTTTGGCTTTTGCTTCAAGAGCTCTTGTGCCTGTGCTTATGGTCACGGACAGCACAAAGGCAGCAACTACTGCTAGGACTCACCATACTATAAAATTAAATACATGTCCCTCTCTTTGCAGGATCAGGAGTTTGTAAATGCTATTGGAAAAATGAGGGAGGCAAAAAGGTGTTCTTTGCAAAGCCAGTCTAAGATGAGTTAAATTTTACTTACCATTTGCAACCATGGCCAGTATTTGGGGAAAAATGAAATCCAAGATTATCCTAATTCATTTGGCATCAGGAAAGCAATATGGCCTGCAGTACACAAGATACAGTGACCCATTTTTGTCATTTGTAAGCATTTTTAATCCTGGTGTTTATGCTTTAAATGTAAGGAACTTCCCCTAGGGTGGTTCAGCTAAGAAACCAGAGTTGAAAATATTTGCTCTGATTCTTACAGTTCAACTCTCCCCAAACAGTAAGTAACACACATGCCATTTTGTATTTTCACTGTTTGTTTAGAAGAGGAGAAATTTGATAGTGCTTTTAATAGCAATTCCAATGCCCCAAATCTTGTTTTCTCTGGTCAACATTACTATGCCACCACTTGATTTTCACTGCAGAAAAAATGTCTAGACTTAGATCCTGACTCCTCCTAAGCCATTTTTATTCCCACACCTTTTACAACGATCCTGTAAATAACAATGAAGACAGACAGAACTGGCTTTCTTTTAAGAAAATGTAAATAAGTAAATATGTCAAACAGGATTTGTGCTTTCTTCAGCAGCAGTTAGGGCTAATATGGATTAAACACTTTTCATAACCAGCATCAGTGTAATTACTAGAAAAAATTGAGGAAGTTAGGTTTCTGACACAATTATATGAAACGTTTTCACAACAGAGGATCCAGTGAAGGGGAAAAAAGCAATAATTTTACCATTACAATGTCAACAATTTTATATTGGTAAATCAAGCATAAAATTGGTAGTTGAAATGCTTCCAGCAAGTCTTTGTTTAGAAATTCCTTTATTCATCGGTATATTATCTTGGTCACTTACTTGCTAACTGCTGTCATTCCTGAAGATGAGCTATTGTGTTTACTATGTTATTATGACTGTATTAAAAATGTGCCATTTTGTTATGTTTATTGGGTTGTGTAAGAAAAATAAGAATCATAATTCATACTGAAAACCCTGCAAGAACAGACTATTCAGAATTATTTTCCTTATTTTAATGATATATTGCCTGAGGTAATTTCTATACTTTGTGTACAATTGTTTTTAATACAGGTATCATATCCACATTTCTTCACGTCCATCCTTTTGGAGCCAATATAGAATATCTTTGGTCTTATATGCAGCAGTTGGACTCCAGGGTAAAAAAATTTAATCAAAATCTGTTTTCTCTATAGAAATATTGTATTATTCTTTACTGCAGGTTAAACTTTCCATGCATTTCCACTAGAAAGATAATGGGATATGGGGCTTGGGGGTTTGCAGTCTTTATTCATTTGCAAATTACAGTGCATATGCTTGTGTTGAGGTCTTTGCCTTGCACTATTTAGCTATTCTTTGTGTCAAAGAAGAGCAGAGCTTTAAATGGCAGAGCCTAGCCACTGATTTTATGATACGTGAACCTGAAATAACAGCTGAGGAGAAAAAAGGCAGAACAAGAGGCAGGTGTAGCCATGGCCATTAAAATATTCAGAGTTTTAGGAGATGATTCCTTATTCTTCTAAAAGTTATTAGTCATGGGTCACACTGAACATGAGCTTTCATGAACACATGAATGGACCATGAAGCATACCCTTTGTCTCTACACGGAAGCGGAGAGGGCCAAAAAGAATTGGCTGACCCTGTTGCTAAATTCAGAGAAGGCCTGGCCAACACAAAACTGAGGCCAACACACTACAGTGTGCAAAGTGTTTTTTAATGCACCAGTTTGTACAATACATACCTGTAGGATAAGTTGTTTGACTTTTAAATATCAACTGCAGAATGAGATGAAATCAAGACCCAAAAGTGCCTATTCCTTTCCACTGAATATTAAGCAAGTCAAGGGTGAGAAGCTCGGCTGTGAAATAGCCACCTTCAATCAGGTGAACACTACTCTAAGTGCTAAACAACTGCTCTGCAGGGTGCTAGACTGCATGAGATACTTAGCAGATGCAGGGGTCACCTTGTGGTTAGCCAGAGCTCTGATCCACATCTGCCAATACTTCCACTGGACATGGAGATGATGGTATTTGCTCAGATCTTCTGGCAATGTGGAGCCAGGACGCAGCTATGGTGGGCACCTGGACTCGGAACATGAGTGGCATTCCTTGTGTGGTGCATATTGATCCGGGTAACATTTTGTTCCTGAGCACTTCCTCCAGCCATGCCACCCATAGTGAAGGTCACCTTCCAGCTTCTGTAATGGGCTACTTTGATGGGCTACTTTGATGGGCAGCTTCATGCCCCTGGAAGATCCTTCCTCTGCTTTTATGAAAAAATGTATAGCTAAAAGCAGAGGAGATTCTGAGATAGAAGCCTACTGGAAGTAAGATAGGTTGCATGGAGGAGTGAAGAAGGGTGATGAAGTTCTTAGTCATTATCTTCAGGCCATGACAGCTTAATTTGCTAGTGGTTTACAGTCCACTCTTAGCCACAACAAAAAGGGAGAAAGGGATGAGGACAGTAGAAAGAGGTGAGAAACTGGTGGATTTCAATTGAAAAAAAAAATCTGATTTTAAAACTGATACATCCAGAGCTTCACACCTGCAACCATTCCTCTTCTGAACTTCTCTGTTCCCTGATCTGCCACATGTACACCTTCCTTCATCTTATTCCCAGTGCCTGCAGCACCCAGTCTGCTCAATCTCCTCAGTCATCTTTCAAGTCCTTCCCTAACCCACAGCATTTGGCTAAATTTCACCTGCTCTCCACCTCACTGGCCTCGCCAGCTCTGTATCTCTTGAGTGACAACAGCAATCATTTAACATACCGGCTCCTTGGGCTCCAGCCCTGGTGCTCATTGCTTCTGCCCACTGAGCTCTTCAACTTTTTCCCCCTTCACTGCTGTGGTCCCTCCTTGTGCATGACCGTGGGCTCTGTCCTTGAATTTCTATGCATGAGAGTAACCTGTTGGCATCTGCCAGGCTGACAGGATCAAACCCTTAACTTGCAAACCAGCTTTCATGGAAGGAGCATTGTCTCCATCTCTGAGATTCCAAGATACCAGCCCCTGCAGCTATCACTCGACCTACCTGCTGCATAATAAACGCAAGCTGCAAAATTTGACCCCGCTAGTTTACTTTGGAAGTAACTGCTTGTAGCAACAAATTACTTTTTAATAGCGCAATCCAGAGATGCAATCTCAGAGATTAATTTCAATTACTTTCCATGGTTAGCCTGTCATCCCTCACCTGAACAGGAATGATAAGGTCAGCATACCCATGCGGGCTGAGGGCTCGGTGTAGAGCTCAGATACATTACCCAAAGGTAACCAGCTATCTGTTATTGCCGTGAGAGTACGTCGAAGATGGACCTGATTACTTTGGGGCTTTAGACTGCCTCCAACACTGATTTTCGGTGCCACCTTTAACAAATCATTTAATCTTTCTGCTTCACTAACCTGTTCAGGAAAATAGGAGGTGATATATATTTTCTCACCTTCCCTGGGTGGAATGAGGTACAATTAGCATATTTTATGTTTATATGCTGCTTTAAAAAAAAAAAACTTTTCACCATGGAAAGTTCCTACTAATATGAATAGGCAGAAATATGATCATTGCCAGAGAAGCCTATCAAGCTATGGAGATACCTGTGGATGACAGTCAGCACCCATAGATTTCCTTACTGTTCATTTCATGACCATCACTTCAGAAGAAGTAGCGGTAGGATAAAATGGTTCATTTTCCATGCCTGTTCATTTCTTGACTTCCCTGCTGATGATACCAGAAAGGTTGCCTTTGTGAAAGTGTTTTCTGCAATGCCAGCATCTTTCCCATTAGGAAGGTGACCAGTTATTAAGGATTCAAGACCATAAAAACATCCTGAGCAATGCAGAGTCAGGAACTTCACTGCCTAGTTATCTGGGGCTACTGAACTGGGCCAAACTGGGAGAAGATGGCTCCACAGACAGTCAACCCTAAGTAACAAAAGTCAGCTGATTAAAAAAATGAAGTCCCTGTATTTGTTAGTTTTTTTGCAAAAGGAAAACTGATGGAGCTCTAAGGAGAAAGATTCAAGAGCTCACAGGATGAGAAGGAAGAATAAGGTCCCATTCGCTTCCTCCTCCTCACAAGTATACCTGCAACCCTAGTTCTTAGATGGATTTCGTACAACACTGTAGCAGCAGCCCCGACATAGCAGTTGTCATTCTTTTACAGTGGGATGCCACTTAGAAAAGCAGAATCATTCCTGCAAGGAATCTGCACTTGCTTCGGAGTCTGGAATTCATGTCAGATTAAAGTTAAAAAAAGGAAAAATAGTAACGGTTGGTTGTTTTCATCTGCCCTGGATTCCCGGTCCCCCACACCTTAGCTCTGCTTGCCATGTCTCCTCTTTCCAATCTACAGAGCAGCTTTCTCACTTTAATTTTGCCTTTCTCTTGTCCTCAGATCTCTGCAAATGAGATAGAAATGCTTTTGATGAGACTGCCACGCATGTTTAAACAAGAATTCACTGGTGTGGGAGCAACACTGGAAAAGAGGTGGAAGTTTTGTGCCTTTGAAGGAATTAAAACTATCTGACTGTGACTAGTAATGAAGCTATGCAGAAGAATAATTCCTAGAGCATGGCAGGGTTATAAAGTATTAAAGTAAGAAATTTGGGTTTGGGCACGTAGTAGTATGTTTTCAAAGTTATCCAAGCCTAATTTTAGTTACATTTGTGACGTTCTCTTGTGAGTGGAAATGTAGTTGTGCAGCAGTTCTTAAAATAAAATTAAAAAAAAAAAAAATTTCAAAATGTGACAGATCTGTTTCCTATGAAAACTGAAGAAAGATACCACAGTCATAATGATTTCAAAATACTACATGTCCTACATCTAAGAAAAGCTCATTGAGCAAACAGTTAAGGAGAAAGATTGCCTGGTTATGGTCGCTAAGCTACAGCGACGTATATGTAGTGTATAGTAGAACTCATTAAGTTTCGTTATTGAAAGTTCTTTCTGTTTAGTAAGAAAACTAAGTAATTTTACAGTGAGGAAAAGCATACCAAAAGAAAACTTGAAGATGTGTCTGAGGTTATTGTATTTTGTAAATTAAGTTATATGCTGTACCAGGGATTTTTGCCTTATTGAAAGAGGCCTGAAAATGTGCTTGGAGTCCTCAAGAATGCTTTATCAAGAATATTATTTTTCTAATGTAACTATTCTCCATTACAAGTTCTTTTAACATGGATTGCATATCGATTTTCATAAACATGTAAATAAGGAGGAAACCAGTGTTACTGTATTGTATTTGGTATGTAACATTCAGGTTTATGCATCAAAATAAATATTCAGTTGCATTACTGTTACAAATTTTATAGCAGATATATTAATTTTTATCAATAAATATGACTTCTACCATATTGTTTGTACAAGTTTTTCTTCTGATGTTTCTGAATTCTTATCAGTCCAGCAAGAGTCCCCTGGCACTTACCTTTCTCCTACCTAAACTATGAACTGTAGGTAACTCGGTTAAATTAAGTAGGGTTAAAAAAATAGCTTGAAATATTAGCCAAAATTAAAACAATTAAAAATATTGCTAGAGGAAGTACCAGCATGGACCTTTGTTCCGCTGAATAGATTTCATTGGTTTTTCAGACAAGCAGCCTGGTTAAAAATGAAGACCTTCAAATTCCTCATTTTCAGTGTTGTATTGGGTAGTTGCGATGCATCCAATTAGTTCCTCCTTCTAACTCCCAGTTAATGCTTCTGGCCGTTGGCCAGGCACGGAATGGAGTAACTCGCTTTTGGCGGTATCCCTTAAGTAGGGACATCGACGTAAATTGTCATTGAAGATTTACTGTCAAACACCCCGTACTCCAGCGCTCCTGTGAGAGCCAGCGAAAGCTGAAGAAGCATGTGTATCAACCAAGCCAGAAGAGTATGGAAGGAATCGCTCCTCCCAGAGCCCTCCGTTGCAGAACTGCGTCAGTGCAGCAGTTACCACCGTGCTGGATAAGGAACAGCAGCCCCCTCCAAGTCACACCTCTGACAACTCCTCCGGCAGAGGACCCAGCCCCATAAAGTGGGGCACCAGCAGGAAGAAATACAGCAAACTACAACAGATGCAGGGACTACCCAGATACATGTCAGAGCGATGCTTCACTCAGGTTCTTCAATAAACAGCAATTAGTGTCAAACGCAATTAGTCATGAAGGAACTCTCCTACGCGGCGGTTCGTGATTACTGCTTTAGGACCTATTTCTCTTCTTGCAGCTACCTGGATTTATAGAAATATTAAATGAAATGTTAATTGTGTACAAAAGGGAAAAAGAAAGAGGCATAGCAGGTCTATTATGGGAGAAAATTATACTTTCAACCAGTACACACAAAAATTTTTTTAAAGAACATACATCTCTATTATGGTTGCTACAGAACCTGTGTTAAGTTACTCAGGTGAAACCGGTAATTATATGCCAGTTACATTAATGAAAATTAACTAGTGTAATCCAAATAACAACTCTTTCTTCTCTTGTTATTATACAGATTTATGAATAATTCAGGCAAAAATGTGTTAGGTCTGACAGCTTTTATTTAAGTACTGTAACACAAATGTGAATGGATGGCACTTAGGCTGGGGAAAAGAAATGTGAGAAAACTTTCACCCCAGCTTTCTTCACGACATATTTATTCATTATATTCTGTCCTCTCTTTTCTCTTGTGTCCTCATTTTTTTCCCGTTAGCTTGTCTCCTCTCCCAAAAAACAACTCCAATCCCAGATAGCCACAAAACATCTTGAAACAGACAGGACCTTGTAACCTAATCGCAATAGTTGCTCTGCGTGTGTTTTCTCTTCCTTTTTACTTACTGGGTTTTCTCACCTGTCTAGGCCATAAGTGCTTTAGGAGAGTGACTTTTTAGTCCTTGTGTAGTACCAGCTAAGAGGGAACCTCCTTCACTGGCCTTTACATACCACCATAGAAGATCGAAACTTTTAAGTATCGATAGCATGTAGGCATCCTGCAATCTTGTAACATAACAGCTGAGACCTTGAAACTCGGGGGGGATCCTCATGAGGATCAAGTTGGGCCCCAGAACTGCCTTTAACATTGTGTGTTCATTGGCTTTGGGGGGAAACGGATTAAAATGTTCAGCTCTGTCACTTAGCTGCTGCAATGTCCTTGTGATGACCCCTTGAAGGAGCAAGCTGGGGGTCCTGAAGTGATACAATGGGATGAATATCAAGGAAGCCACCTTTGAAAGGCATCTCTTGCAGATATGTTACTGATACATGGAGAAGACTGTGATGTTCTGCAAGCCCGTGTTAAATTCTGGCAATGTACGCTTTAGCCAGCTTTTCTGAGCAGTAGTGTCAGTCAACCTGATGCCATCATAGCGCAGAAAGACGTATTCCGTATGAAGCATATCACTGGAGGACAGCTGTAAACCCCTGCTGCCATGGCTGTGGGTGATGGTGCTTTTAGCACTGTCAGGCATTGTAGCAAAGCAACTTGTGAAAATGGCATGAGATGATGCCACTTCCTTATAATAAAAGAAGAAGACAGTATGGTGGAAAAGAAGACTGCAGCAGAAGTCAGCGTGCTCTCCTCCAGATCTTTCTGGAGGTGCTAGAGATTTGGAGACGTTGAGGTGGCCAAGTGGTACTTAGTGACATGAGGCAGTGCAAGACCTAAAGCAAGTTTCTCTGTGTCAGGTTGAAGGACGCACATTTGGCAAAGACTCAAAACCATGTACAGTTAGCAGGAGCCTGACAACAGTAGTGGGAAAGAAGAAAAGGAAAGAATAGGCCAAAGAACCACACCACCAGACTAATCACAAGCTCAAGAGGTGAAACTATGCAATAGCCTGGCATGCAACTGGAAATTACAGCAGAAAGATATAGCAGTGTCCCCTCTTCCCAAACAGGAGCTAGTGGAACAGGAGAAGATTTGGTTTCCAACTGACCAAACATGACGAAGGTATTTTTGCAGGGATTTGTGAGCTCAGTTGGCCTGAACTCCTGTTATTCCAGGAGAGCTTTTTAACTCACCCTTGGCTTTGAATTGTCTTGGAGTGGTGATAGGGTTGACTTTCATCAGTTTAGGGGGCCAGCCTCTAACTGCACTTTATTTGATACCCACTTGAAGGCTTAAGACATACACTGTGCAAAACCTCTCGGACACACGTGCGTTTCACCCTGCACATTCAAGGGAGATGAGTGTAACCTCGCTGTTAAACTGCATTTTATGCCCACAAGAGATAGCAATGTTTGATGAAGACTGCATTATCCCCGTTACTAAACAGGAAATTTCTAATATTGCCTCATGCTATCGCATATAGTGGAGCGTAATTGTTTATTGAAATGCTTTGCCCAAAACATGCACGTTTGTGACTGCCAGAGCATCGTACTCACGTAAGTAACAGCTACACCGAGATTTAGAGAAAATCCTGCAACAAGCTATGCTACATTTAACTACACATCATGTACAGTAAATGCTGTGGAATCTAAAGCCAGAAAATTTATTGTAAGAGCATTCTGGGTGGTTTCAGTCAAAATCCTGCTCTTGCAAGCATTGTTTTATTTAAAATCAGAATGTCTTTGACAGTCAGTGTTAGCATGACAAAAATGTTCTGTGCTGACGTGAACTGATTTAGGGAACGAGTTTCGGGGAGAGGAAGATGGAAAGGACTTGCTTGGTCTGGGAGATATATTCTTTTTGTCCTCCAGTACCAGTAGTAGCCAGGTCTGATGTAAGACTGATGTCCACTTTGCATCATATTCTGTCCATCTACCCAAAGCAGGAGCTTAACAAATGTGTCTCAGAGTTCAGTATTTGAAGTGTGAGGCTTTTATAAACTTTTTACTGTACAAAGGTACAACTTTTCCTGTCCCTTGACTTGCCACTCTGGTTACCCTGGTAAGATCTGCAGCTCTTTTACCCAGATTTTTCCTGCAAATAAATAGAAAGTGGAAACAGCAGCAAATTCCTTCCGGTTCTGTAGTCAGTCTCCTCTGGAACCAACTGCTGAGATGGTTAGGAAAAAAGAAACCTTCCTACATTTGTTGGCATTAAGTGTCCATAAAGCAGGACACAATCTGGAGGAAGCCATTCCTTTTCCCAGACCCTCTGAGAGAGAGCATGACTGCTCGGGCTGCAAAGGGTGGTTATTTACTTACTGAGTTAAAACTGCATGTTTCAAAAACAAGTATGTCAACTGAAAAAGCAAATGAAGCAGGAAATTATGCTTACAAGGTGCAGATCCTCTGACTACATAAACTTATTACATTGAATATGTGGAAATCCTAATTTGTAAACAAAATCAAATGGATACGTTCAGGAGTACCTTTGATTAAGTGTTTTGCCTCACACTGGGTAATAAACATTGAGCCTGTTCAGACTTAATGGGATGACTTCACTGTCATACTCCCTCTCAATAGGGATATTTGGGGGGCAGCAAGAGGAAAAAATATCCATTCCTTTAAACCTAGCAGAGAGCACTCCTGCAATCCTACCAGCCATATTATAACCATTTGCACAAACTTCTGGATGGTAAGTACTTCTTGCTGATTTATGTGCTTTTATATACATAACATTGAAGCCTAAAAAAAATCATCCACTTGGACTGCTCGTACCTCAGCCATGCCACACTTAATCCTGTAGTGATCCCAGTAGCATCTGGTGGATTAAAATACATCTCCCATAAAAGCATAATCAAAGTTATCAAGTCATGGAAAAGGCACTTTATTGCTTGATAACTTGTTAGAAGAGATTAGTATTGTCAAATTTGTGTCCTTACTTCCTAACTTGATTTCTTCTGGCTTTTTCTACTTAGTTTTGCTTTTCTCTGCAAGGTTAAATAATCCTTTAGTACTGCATATTTTTGCCCCATAAAGATCTTTATATATTGTAGTCTATTTACTTTTCAGGATTCTTTCTCATAAACTAATCAGATTGATCTCTTAAGTGTTTGCCATAAAACATTTCTCTCCTTTTCCTCAAATCATTGCATCCTTTTTTTAATATCCTTTCCAGTTTTTCAACACTTGTTTTAAAACATCCAGAGAAAAGACGTTACGTGTATTAGTCTGATCAATGCTGTATACAGACATGAAGTCACATCTCTGCTCCTATTCAGCTCTCCACCTTCTATTCGTACCAGACTATCAGCTAATCACAAATGTCAAAGCAGTAGTCTAAGCATATCGCTGTTACGTCATCTTCTTCATCCTTCTGGTGTAACGCATTCCTCCGCGTAGATGCATTTCTGTATGCCAAAGACCAGCTTTTCCATCCCCACTGGTAGGCTTGTTTGTGCAAGGGCAAAGGTCCCACCCCATGAGGATATTTTGGGGCTTAGATCCCCGGCACGCCCTTCTGGGTTTGTTCTATGCTAGAAGGAAAATCTGGATAATTCTATG